ACACACACCACACACACACACACACACACACACACACACACACACACACACACAACACACACACACACACACACACACACACACACACACACACACACACACACACACACACACACACACACACACACACACACACACACACACACACACACACATCAATAACGGCAAAAGGTCTGCTGAACCCAAATCCCATCTAATAATTGTTTTGATTAAGTGTTTAAACTGTTCTGTTGTGATTGGTCAACCGCATAGAGATGTCCCGCTCCCTTAGCCTATCATGCACAATGTGTTGGAGCGCCAGCCAATAGGAGCGCGAGTGTTCCGTAGTGATGTCACTATGTTCAGTAACACATTAAATGACATTGTCACTTGTTAGACTTCCATACTCAATACTGTGGACAATCCCCTCAGGAGCACTTTGGGGTGAAGAGTCTCAGGGACACAACGACATGCTGACTGCTGTGGGGTTTGAACCTGTGACCCCCTGATCCCAACACCAACGCACTAGTCCACTGCGCCACACGCCTCCCTTTAAGTGTTATGTTTTGTGCAGTTTATTGTTATTTGTGTGTTTTCGTGTCTCACAGTTCTACTGCAGCCAGAAGTTGTAGTAGGTCTCCTCCGTTCATGTAGTAGAGGTAAAACAGCAGATCTTCTCCATACCGCGACAACTTGATAGCTGCTAACTGCAGACGTGAAAAGAACAGGGGAACAGGTTTCAAATGTGATTTACGACATCTAGTGCATTTATTATACAGTAGATAATAGATTAAATTAACTGAACACTAAAACACTTTGTGCTATTTTACATTTTTTATCAATACCAATAAGATAAAACAAGTTTCTGTTGCGTCTTCTTTTTAGTTTTTTTCTTATTGTTTACTCCGTACATTCAGGTAAAAATCAAGGTTAATTTCCTGTAAATATTAACTAGTTCATCAGCATAACAATTATACAAATGTGGTTTGATTGACTGAGATGCTCCGACATGAAAAACTGAATTATTTTCCAATATTTCGAAAAAGAAAGGATGTTTCCGATGTTTATTTGAGGTACACACCTTGTCCCTTATGTGGATGTTGGTTAAATACTCTGAGGGGACGTGAAAGTCTGCGGAGAGAAGAGAAGGCAAAACGAGGTGAAACACTCCATAATTATCCCAAATAAATCACATATGAGTGAAACTATACTCACCTATGTCCTGCGGTCGACACGGAGCCGACGCCCAGGGAGACGCAAACTTAGGATAAAGATTCCTGAGACGAAAGAGAAAGAGATTCTTATTAGATTTTGAAAAACATTGGTAAATAAAAACATAAAAAAGCTGTGGGGTCTCATCGTACTCCGGTGAGTTGAGATTGAGGCCCAGCGTTGTGAGGTCGGAGCCCAGAGCCAAGTGCACCATGCCGGGGTCGGTCTCTGCCGCCCGGATGAACGTCAACAGGCCGATCATCCCAAACTGATCCGTTACCATGCCGATCGGGATGTTGGTCACCCGCCCTGCAAAAAAAAAGAGGAAAAACGAACGTTATAAAGCTGTAAAGGAACTACAGCACGGTCACATGACTTCACGTCACCACCGCTAAGCTAAAGGAGGCTAATGTTGGGCTATAAAGGAACTACAGCACGGTCACATGACTTCACGTCACCACCGCTAAGCTAAAGGAGGCTAATGTTGGGCTATAAAAGGAACTACAGCACGGTCACATGACTTCACGCCACCACCGCTAAGCTAAAGGAGGCTAATGTTGGGCTATAAAGGAACTACAGCACGGTCACATGACTTCACGTCACCACCGCTAAGCTAAAGGAGGCTAATGTTGGGCTATAAAGGAACTACAGCACGGTCACATGACTTCACGTCACCAACCGCTAAGCGAAAGGAGGCTAATGTTGGGCTATAAAGGAACTACAGCACGGTCACATGACTTCACGTCACCACCGCTAAGCTAAAGGAGGCTAGTGTTGGGCTATAAAGGAA